AGGGGGGGGCCAACCACCACCATTCCATCGCTCACGCTTTTTTTCTCTTCTAGTAAGGGCTTACCACGATCCTTTTAACCCTTTTGCACCCCCCCCCCGCGCGCGAGCGCACCCCAGCAGGCTTTCTAAACCCATCGGCGTGGACGCCCGCGCGATGACCAAAAGTAACCTAGAACTACCCGTAGAAAGGGGGAAAGGGGGGGGGGTGCGGAAAATGCCTGCTCCCCTCCCCTCCTCCAAACTGACTTGGGGATTCGCGCGCCCCCGACTAGCGCAACTCGCACATGTGTGAGTGAGTAGTTAGAGTAAAAGCGTAGGCTTTCTCCGTTTGTGAGATGGAGTTAGTTTAAGGCGCATCGGAGTAGACAGGGGTAAGGCTTCTCTCTAAGTACCCTGGTCCTTAATATCTAATAATACAGAGAGAAGAGCAAAAAAAAAGAACTAGCTAGCATTGCCATGCTCGTAGGAATACTTAGTCTAACCATCTCCATACAAATCCCGACTTTTGGTCCTCTTTTTTTTAGGGAGGAGGGAGCGGGGGTAACTTGCGGTCCGGTTTCTAAACGGTGAAGCCATGTAATATGCACATCATCAGGGCATCGGAGCTTTTCTTCTTCCTTCTTTCTTTAATGGCTCTGGTGTTATATTTCTCTGTATTAGGACCAAGACGGCGGGATTCGGAGATTTTTTTAGGGGAGGGGGGGGGGGCTTTTCTAACTAAGGACGACCAATGTGTGTAAAGGACCTGGTCTGTTCGGCTGTTTCCGTACTACGAGGGGCGCTGCGTGACTAGGTTTTTTTGTACTCTGAACATACATGGTAAGCTAGGGCTCTTGATGAAATGTGTTCGGCGGATGGTTTGTTGTAGTTGTAGTTGTAGTAACACTAGTGTTATTGTAGCCATGAACCATAGGACGATGATGTACTGTTGTGCGTGTGTGAGGACATGAACGGTAGTAAAGAAAAAAGCCCGCCCTATAGGAGAGGACCAGCGTAAAACAATGTGTGGTGGTGCAGAGAGCAGAGAGGAGGGAGACAAGGGAGCAAGAGAGCAGAGTCAGCAGTCACCGCTTATCATGTGGCCAGCAATTCCAAACAGTGGGCATCACCAAGCCCCCTGCGCGGCTTGTACGTACGTAAGTAATGCTCACCTTTGGTCCTGCTGGCCTCACCTCAGCATGCAAGACATCCGACCGTAGCACAGCGCCAGACGCACGCGCGCACGCCCACATCCACACACCCCTCGTCCCTCGTGGCATCGGGAAGGAATCCTACGACCCAAAAACACTACTGCCGTGTAACGGCGCTTGATCTACCCACCATCCCTCAGACCAGCAGTAACACCATAGCAAGCCCATGCAAGCCCAATTATGCTAGTTGCCTTCTGTCAGATCATGGCCTGGCGCACCGTTTATGTCCACCATGCCTGCCACCCAGCGCCTGGTGCTCCACTGCCTAGCTGAAAAAGCCGCCATCTCCAACGGCGGCACCCCCCAAAAAAGGAGCCTTTCGCAGAGCCCAGCAACCGTCCGGGGCATTAAAATCGTAGTTTAATCGGGCAACGGTTGATGAGCCGCTAAAAGGCGATCTTGCAGATGCAATTGTTTTGTAGATGCTAGCGTATCTCTTCTGTCGGATACTGCACCTTTTTACTTTTACTTTTGCTTTTGGCTTGCAAATCTTACATTGCACAAAAGCCTGTGTCTGTTCTTCTGGCGAGGGGAGAGATGGGGGAGGTGGGGCGGGGCGGGTTAGGCAAAGGACAGGTAACAGCACCAGGGGGTGTGAAGGATGGGCATGAAAGGGAAAAAGGTCGGCGATATTGTTCCTTTGTTGAGCTGGTCATCCCAGCTCGGCTTTGCAGATTCTTTCCTTCTTTCCCTCTGCCGTACTTTTGCCGCGTGATCGGCTTTCGGACGATCTGGCCGTCATGAATCAAGGACGTTCGGACGACATTGCCCAATGTGATCACCATCCGCCTGCACATTCCAGCACGTCCTGCGGCGGGAGGCGAGGAAGAAGGAAAGAGAAAAGTGGTTAACCGACAAGCCACTCCGCACCTCGATACAGATCACGCTGTGGTCGTTGCGATGGCCCATGGGCAGAAAAATTGGGCCGGCGACATTGTTTCGATCCCATCGCTCCGGTCATGTTCGACTGATGCCACCGTGCGAACAATTGCATGAACGCACAAAAAAATGGGTCTCGGAAAGGTCGATTGTGTAATGGTTATTGATTACACAGAGTAACAAGCCGCACTTTGATTTCCCCATCGGCGGGTTCCGTCATACTGCGAGCATGCATTCCTCGTCATCCTATCAGCCATCAAGCCCATGCTAAGTATCGCAGCACACAGACACACACTCACTCTGTCCGTCTGTCTGTTTGCTGCATGCTCCACGGCGCCGAGGTCTCGCCAACCGTGGCCGATATTCGCATACCGATGGTTGGCATACGTATTCTCGGCGAGCATTTTAATCTATCTGCAGGATAGACAGGCGAATATGCAGCGCCTCGGTGTATGAAAAGGCAAGATAACGCATCAACCACAACACTGTCATTACGCGCCTTCCTGATTTGGCGAGTCCCATGGGTTTCCCTTCTCGGTCGCCAGCAACCCATGTTTACTGAACATGTGTACGTGCGTGTGTAGGTGTGCGGGTATAATATGGAATACCCTCTTGTATGCATGGGTTAGCCCCCCAGAATTCCGAATCCGAGTCATTGCCGCCCCTCCTCCATCATATCATGCTTCAGCTGTGCGTCATACATAGGGCAAATACGGTGTACTACGCGCACAGCACACACCCTCAACTGACACACCCATATGTACGCACACACACTTTTTGCACCCAGCCCCTCCTCCGCCCCAGTCGGAACATCGTGCCACAAACGCCATGTTTTCAAACAAAGCATATTTTTTTTCCTTTGCAAAGGAATAAGCTGCCGAGCTTGATTGGGTCATTGCGCAACGCCCACCCGCCCCAAGCAAAGAAAATGACACCATTCTCTGCCCATTGTACCCATGCCCAGCAAATCAGGTCCGCAGGAAATATGTCCATTAAGAAAATGCAAGCAAAAGCGAAAATGGCATTGACCTGCTTCAAATGTCGTATGACTTTAATTATTATTATGCTCGTAAAGTTTGTTTTTTGCTCTCGTAAACGGTCGCCGTCTAGACGGAAAAAAGAATCTGATAACGGTGGCCATTGTAATTGTAGAATGCAGTCTGACACAGAGAAATGCGGTTATGCTCGTTCTCTCTCATTCCCTGTCAAACCTTATTTCTTTACTAAGAAAGATTACAAGGAAGAGAGGAGAGGCGAGAAAAAGAGAATGCGAGCAAAGGAAAGGGTGTATGTCTGTTCAATCGAATCAAGACAGACAAAGAGGGTGGTCTGATTTCATCGGTCAGTGAAAGGTAAGGTGACTTCAGCATATTTCGCTTCGAGACCGCCGGCGAAATGCTCGGGCAGTCGAAAAAAAAAGATAGGCGAGAGAGGAGGGGGGGATTGCGAGGGGCTGGCATTCCTTCCCCTTGCAGCTCAAAGGCTAAGCGTCGGTAAGCAAAAAAGTAAAAATAGGAAAAGAAGGGGACAAGGTGTGCCATGGCGACAGCGGCACATACGTGGCAAGGTGCGCAAAGCAGAGCGGAAGAGAGAAAAGGGAAGAGGGCAAGGGCAGGGCAGCTCGTAAGCATGCAAGTGATGTGGTGGTTGAAGCGGACAAGGTAGGGGGGAGGAAGGATAGGGAGGGGTGCGTAGTCCGATGATGGTGGCGATCTACGCCGCGGCCTATAAGACAAGGATGAGGGGTTGTGAAGAGCGAGGAGAAGGGAGAGGGAGAGAGGCGTGAGGGAGTGAGCCAGCAAGCGAACGTGCAGGCCATGCATGCATATTCAGCCGAGAGATGTCGGCGAGCAGGGGCGAGGGGGACAGACTGACTCTATTCCTTCCCTTTTAAACGTCAAACCTTGATTATTAAGTCGGAAATCATAAACACGCGCGGGCACACCCGGTCAGACATCTAGATTTTAGTCTTACACAGCAACATGCTGGGTCGGGCCTATACGTCGCCTGCTGTTTGCATAAAAAAACATGTATCTGTATCTATGCGCATTCGTTTCGCCGTCGACTGGGGGGGTTGGTGGAGGGAGGGGGGGTGAGGGGCGGAGAGACATGCGTATCATTGTTTTGAAACCAAACCGGGCCTATCTGGCCTAGGCTTCGGATAACTGAGAGGGGAAGAAGGAGGGGAGAGGAGGGGGGTTGCAAACACACAGTGATAAGCATGAGATTCAAGGCGTGCAACTGTAGCATGAGCAGGGGGTCGAGGATGCGCACGGCGACATGTCCACCTTGCGTGATGATGAGCAGATTGGGGGTCACGGCAGCGCAACTGCTGCCATGGGCTGCTCTGCTGATTTGCTTCACAATAAGCTCCAATGACCGAGAGCGTATGACTCGATGAGCTCGACTTTCGTTCGTTCCACGTTGCTTGTACGAGGAACACAAGAGCGGCACACAAGTCGCCAAAGAAGCCAGCACTGTGTATGTGTGTGCTTTTGTGAAGTGAGCACTGCAACAGGGTACACAAAAGGACAAGGTGACGGACTATGATTGCAGTTATAATTTGGATTGGTCAATTGTTTCTGTTTCGAGCGCCGGTTCGCATGCAGTTGTTCTAGCCCGTAATGATGAAAGTCTGAAAGGAAAAAAAAAAGCCAGGAAAATTTTGGAAAAAATCTCGTCACCGAGATGCGCAAAAGATATGATCAAAGAAGAAAGTATAACCGTGCCATGCATGTCGCCCAAAAAAGAGCCCTCGTCATGGCATGGACATGCAAGACGACCTTGGAGCCATAACTAACTCTTTACGCAAATATCTGTACTTTGGCCGTAGCCATGCTGCGCGCATCATGGTTCATTGAATCTCCCTCGTAAAACACCCATAAGTAGAAAAACATACAGCCGCCGCCAAGTGAAAATGCAAGCACCGCCAGAGGAGAAAGATGCTGTGACTGTCGCATGAATCAGCGACACGGTCGCGAAAAACATCCACCAAAAGGAGAGTCGTCAATACACTCGCGCGAGTAGCCGAGAAGGAGCGAAATGGCCTTGAACACACCGTTGTGCAAGGTTGGCTTCGATTGAGAGTCGCATTTTTCGCCGATTGTCAGACCATGTTTAGTGGTTCTGTTGGTACATTTGAGGATTCTGTCCATAGGGCGATTGTGGATAACTGCTGCTGTTACTATTGGGACTGTTGTACGCATTGCTGTTGGGGGTGGCATACTGAGCCATTCCCTCCGGAAGACCGGGGCTTTGGGTGCCGTATTGAGGGGCAGCCGTGTTGCCAGAGGCGGCAGGCTGATACCCGATCGGAGGGAGTTGAGGATGTTGGGGCGCTTGCCCGGGGACACCAACTGACTGTCGCATCTGTCCGTAGACGGGAGCTTCGGGGGCACCACCCTCGTGAGCGCGCTGCTGCGCGTCGGCACGGTGTCGCTCCTCGTCAGCCTTGCGGGCGGCCTCTTCCTCCTTCTTCTTGGCCTTCCACTCCTTGCGAATTTCCTTGAATTCTGTTAAGGTTCAGTTAGTATCTATATCAAACATATAATATTGTGCCAAGAAGGCAAGGCGCAAGGATCGATACTTGTTAGCTTCTGTCGTCAGAAGCTACCAGTGTGGGGGGAACGCGACCACTATGGCGCTGCACCAGCACGATCCCAAGTGCTAACTTAGCGCACTAGCCTTGCAAGGGCCACCACAACAACAACAACCCATGACGTGTTTGACCAACGAAAACGGAGTAAAGGGAAAAACAAAGCACTCACCTTCTGGTGTTCGCTTTGAGCCATGAGATTGCATGGTAACGTGGGCGTTCAAGTGGTTCAGAGTACCGTAAGCCTTCTCGCACCCGTTCCAGCCGCACTTGTACATGCGCTCAATTTCCTCATATCGCCGACGTGGTCGCTTGTGTTGCTGTGCGCCAGGAATGGGAACAAATGAGTAGACTGTAGACAAGGGGTGTCCGCCCTGTACGCGCGCGCACACACTGTCAGTATTGAAGCACTGTATTTGGGGGGGATATAACGACTTACAGTTGGTGGTCGCTGAACAGGAGAAACCATTGCAGGCGCCGGGGGACCTGAAGAGGCGGGATGACCGTAGTGCATGCCTGGCTGAGGGTAATGGCCAGCCCATTCAGGGCGCGATGGGTAGCCCATGGGTGTTTGGGGTTGGCCCGGGTAGTGCTGCATGTCGTGGTGGGGCGTGTAGGGAGAGTATTGCTGTTGGTGACTGGCGTAAGTCGGGCTCGTCTGGGCGGCGATTGATGGATCTATAGGTACATCCGAGTCAGACTTGAGTTGCTGTGGTGATTGATGGCCATTTGCTTGACCATCTGGGATAGGCATTGACGGACTCTGTTGTTGCGCCATACCACCGGGAGCTTGCCCTTGAGCAGCTGGTTGATACGAACGCTGAATGTATTCGGGAAATGAGCCTGATCGAGCAGACGAGGGATTCAGACTGTAGTCTGAGCTGGGTGTGAGGTTGGAAGAGCGAGGATCTTGTCCTTGGGGAGGGTATTGCGCAGCAGATGCTTGATCTGCAGAGGTTCCCTCAGAAACTGGTTCAGGAAAGGTTGGGTAGGGCGAGCTCAAACCTGACTGCGGGTAGTCTGCTTGTCGTGCGTCCATAGACTGTTCAGAGGGGTCAAGAATCGAAGGTAGCTTGGACGGACTCTAAGCTGAGGTTGGATGGTTGGATGCGTGCGCCCACAGAGAGGAATGGCTGCAGAGATATGTCCGTCGCGAACCGTCTTCGGATGATTTGCCGCGGTCTGTGGAAGACAGGCAGCTAGAGCGTATAAAGACGTAGCCTGGGTTCGGCCAAGAGATGCACAGCCAGAAAACCGGAGAAGCGAAGTGATCAGGCCGTGGGTAGCGTGGAAGTTAAACGCGGATGATTTGCAGACGGTGTGTTTTCCACGACGCCCAGGTGGAGGGACAAGCAGTTCGGCAAATATGCGCCGTCGAAAAGAGATGCACGGAAGGCGCAAGGTCGAGGGCACCGGGACAGGGGAGGTAGCTAGCGGATAGAGATCTCTCGAATCGCGGAGCAGCTGGCGCGATGCAGAGTGAAGTGCAACGCAAAGGTTACACAATTGGTGCTAGTGAAAGGACGAGCTTGCACCTGCGGGTCTGCTGGGGCAAGAGTGAATTTGGAACACAGCTAGTGAGAGCGCGGCCTAAAGGCTTTTAGACTCAGTGGCGTGCGCGTGGAGGGTGAGGGCCAATCGAGGGGCGTGGAAGAAATGGCGGCTTGCCCAGCAGGCCTTAGCACACTCGATGAGGTAATTCGCGCCCGTCAAGGCAGTGACAGGGATGCAGTGCTAGTCGGTAAAGCCGAGCCGTAACAGTGGGAATGACTGCTGCTGCGGGTGGAGCGGCTAGCACGAGGAGGGGATGGCGCGGCGAGCAGAGTGTGGGACGCAGGCCAGCGTGAGGGTGGGCTTCTGGTGCGCGAGGGGGGGGACGTGCGGGTCCGTGGTTGGAGTGCGCTAGTGACGAAGAGACCAGGGTTGGGTTGGGCCTGTTGGCCGAGGGGCGCGCAGGCGGCTACCAAAGAGGTCGCTCTGGATGCGCGTCGCTGACTGGCTCTGCGCGCGGCGATGGGGCAAAGGCGACAGTCGGCCCGTTGTGGTAACGATGACTGAAGGTTTCGCGCACACTGTGGCTCTCTCCCAGTCGCTGCGTGTCCCAGAATGCTCAACTGCGCCGAGCGTGCCGAGCGATCAGCCTCCTGTCGCGGCGTTCGGTGCGGATTTGGCACGCACAACGAGCGTGGCAGGGGAGGGCAGGGAAGCGTACGTCGGCGAGTGGCGGCGAACGGCGGCGACGACAGCAGCAGCAGAAGAGAGATGTCGGAGGGTAAATCTGCGTTGGAGGGGTCTCGTGGGTTAAGAGACTTGTGGGGGGGCTGGGCAGACGAAGAGGTGTGCAGTTTGCAGTTGCAGCGGCGTGCAGTTGCAGCGCAAAGCAGACCAGAGCAGCGTAGAGCAGCAGCGCAGAGCAGCGAGGGTGCAGCAGCAACAGTGGAGCGTGGAGCGCCTTAGTGACGAACGCGCCGGGTGGGCGGCGATCGCGTTGCTTGGTGGCAGTTGCACGTGTAGTCGCACTGCGGGTGCGCGATCTGGTATGCTTAGGATGGCCTGGGGGCCTGGGGTGGAAGGGAGGGGGAAGGGGGGTAAGGGTGACGGCAGCGTTAGGGCAAGGCACTGGCTGGTACCAGGCACTGCTTGGGTTGGTGGTGGTAGTGGTGGTTGAGCAGGTCAGATTCGCGACGTAGGCTAGAGAGGGTGCTAACACAGAAGATGGTTAGGCGACAAGAAGGGGAGCGGCACTAGTGAGAAGAATAGTCCGACACGCCCTCGTTCCGTGCACCTGCTGACTAACCGACGTCCTGACGTATTGACCGCCCTTTGCTCCCCGTTTTGTTCTCGCTGCGCCAGGGAGCCGAGGACGGCGGTGCCTTCACGCCGGTCGCGTGCGTGTGCGTGTGTGCGTGAGTGTGCGTGCGTGCGTGCGTGCACCCACCCAGCACCCCTCCCTCCCTCCATCCATCCACCCAGCAGCCAGCCAACCCACCCTTCCGTACGCAGACGCATCCATCCATACCTGCGTGCGAACGTGCGTGGGCTTGCCCGTGTGTCGCCGTCACCGTCCATACGAGGTGCAAAGAAGAATGCAGCCATGGCATGAGGCTGAGAGCTAGTTCTGCGCGCTAGACGCGGCAAACCCACGCTGGAGGGACGTCGGGCCACAGTACTACCTACATGGCATGCACCTGCGACTTAGCACTCTGCCCATATACATACATGCCTAGTACAATACTCAAGTACATACATGTACACCACCGGCCTCGTCTGCTGCACGCCCATGCCCAAACGCCAAAAATTGCGCCCGCGGCTGCACACAATCTGCAATCACCGCGTCGACAATCTTCACCACCCGGCCAGCGGGCTTCTGCGGGCCCCCCGGCAAGAGCGGCCTGCAAAACCACTGCATGCAAATATTGGACATGGCACAGACCTCGCCCGCCGGCAGGACTGGCCCAATGCGTCCATGAGAGCGAATCCCGACCGTACTGCACCGGACCGCACATGCCTCTGGCCTGCCGTGTGGGTGTGTGAGTGAGTGAGTAAGTGAGTGAGTGAATATGAGGGTGTGCCAAAAGGCGAAAAGCAACCTACAACGTCCGGCAGAGAGGCATGCCACAAGACGTTGACATCTCCTCAGGCCTCGTAGCCTCGCAGCCTCGCCGCCCATCCTTTGCTTCTACTACACACATCCTACATCCTACATCCTATATCCTACCTACATACACATACACTACTTACTCACCTCCACATGACTCTGACCGACTACTTTCTGCCCCATCCACTAACGCAAGGCCCGAGTGTCCATGCTTCTGGTGGCCGCGCCCGGCATCATAGCTACGGCATCTCACATGTCCAGATCCACTAACCCATCCTTGACCCTCCCTCCAGATGTCGCATGGGCCGTCCTGCCCTCGCCTCAAACCCCCGCTTTCGCCTTCGCAAACTTCAGCATACCGCTGTCGTATCGTGATTTTCTCCTTGTGCATCCTCCATCCATGCCCGTTTTGCTGTCAGCAGACAAGACTCTGGTGCATCTGGCCCCCACCCTCTCGCAATTCCGCAAACCTTGCTGTTTTGTCTGCCACTGCATCTCCTGCTTCTCTACTACTGCTCCGGCTTCCATGGCCGCAAAAAATCACCCTGCTATTTCGCTTCGGGTCTCGACACCCTCCCTTCCCTTGCTGCTGTCATTCCTTCTTGAGATCACCGACCCTGCTGCCTTGGCGGCCTCCAAGCCACATGCCATGTCACCGCCCTCGTCTGTGTGGGCATTTGTACGCATCTAGATATTCAACGGCTGAACGGTACATCTGGTGCCATGGTCATCCCAAGCCCACCTGGCCCGGTTGCCAACATCCGAGAGCACCCAGGCCAGCCACCCCCTTTGCTTGCCTATGACAATCGCCTGAATGCACTCGAGTGTTGTCGTCATAGATGGCTTTGTGCGGTGCAAACAGGACGTGATAATACCCACCCTTTCTCTTTCTCAACACCTGTTGAGCAGAAGCAACATGAGTGAAGCTCTTCGGGATAGCCGTCATGTGATTGGCTGCCCAGTACCAAGACTGATCGGACCCAGGATGAATACGAATAGATGCCACTAACTATTTGCACATGCGCCGTCGAACGGGAGCGGGCGGTAACCTCGATCATAACGCGAACACCACGCCGCCATTAGACTATCTCAACTTCATGTCTACACACTCCATGTCCACGTATGCGATACACTGCACATACTCATCCCCCAAGTCGCACCCGTCATGCCAGCCACAGGCCAGCATCATGGCACCTTGCAAGTATCGGGCGCATTCATGGCCTGATCCGCGGACAAAAATACGTCCTGACGAGACACGCAAGGTCTTGTCAACAATTTCCGTCTGGTGTATGAACTGATGACATACATGAAGAGGGGTCCTTGGGTCGCGAGTCATAGGCCGACGTATCACAGCCATGAAAATTGAAGAAAAAAAAAAGACCCCCAGCCATTGCCATGTCAAAAACGTTGTGAGCAGACAAAAAGTAGGGCTTGGCCCAGAAGAAGGCATTTCCAGGGCTCAGGGCGGCTAAACTCTGGCAGTCTGGTGTCCAGGAACGCTCTGGTGGTGCAAGTTGAGCGAGCGAGCGAGTGACAGTGACAGGGGCCGCCCCCTGCCCGCAGAACCAAACATGGCCTGTGGCTTTTTCCTAGGGATCGGTGGCATTAGGTCGAGTTGGACCGAGCGATGCCTCGTGGCGGAGATATGCACGGAGCTTCCCTGGAAGAAGCGAAAGCGCGCACCTTTGGTCATGGCGTGTCAGAGGCGGCTGGTGGAGGCGCGGAGTTTACCAGACCATAGGTGTCACGATGCGGGCGCTACCATGGCCGATTTGGAGACCGACCTTGGACAACTTGGTAAACATCCAGACTTGGTCATTGCTTCACGCCGACGCACACACGCATCACCTGTACAAGTCCGAAATTATTCGCTTCCCTCGTAATTGACTACGCGGCATGGCGCAGCCAGCGGGCTACCTTCCGCCGATAGAATGAGGAAGCGACCGCGATGCCCTCGCATGCAGCGCGTTGCAAACATGGAACATGGAACATGGAACATGGGGGCTAGATGCCCTCTACCCTGCTTTTCCACCCCCGACTGTGCATTCTTCCTCCACTAGAAGCCCGACTCCAACTATCCTTGCCGTATTGGACATGGGGGCCATTGGCATGGAACTGTAAGCAAAAAGTAGCCATATATTGTAAATGCTGCTCGCCGGCGCTGTGAGGCCAGACGGCCGACAAACTTACGTACTTTGCTGTAGGTATGTATGTACTATGTCCTTACTTACATAGCCAACGTCGACGGGGCCTAGACGCTCAGCTGCACATAATCAAGAAAACCACCATGGCATGTACTTCCAGACGCACGTCAGCGCTTGGTCGCATACTGCTATTATCATAATCACCATGACTATCATCATCATCATCATCATCATCATCATCAGCAGCAGCAGCAGCAGCAGCAGCAGCAGCAGCAGCAGCAGCATCACCACCACCGTCGTCATCTTCTAATACATGCGACGTCGTATTAATCGGGCGTGCCGGATGGAGATGAGATGCATTGTGTGCAACGTCGGAGTAGGTTCCGCGCCACGCCACTACCACAACATGTTCCCTTGACCTTCCTCGTTTGGTCGGCTGCAGCAGGAGAGAAACACGCACGAGTAGCAGCAGCAGCAGCAGCAGCAGCAGTATCATCGCGACTTCCTCCTCACACCCACTGCAAACAACCACGTCACCAAAGGCGTGGCCACCGACACATGCTCAACACTTTCCACGGTACTGGGGGCAACATTGTCTGTCTTGCTCGTGTTCCTCTACCTCAACCACTTGTATCATCATCGGTCATGACATAGTCTCGCATACACTCGCCCACTTTATTGGAGAGGGTCCAATGCCTCTGGCCGTCACATCCGATACACCAACAGAAGGCCATGGAGTCGAGCCCAAGCCCGGTGTACCCCGCGAGGCTATGCTTTGCACCCCTCCCTCTCCCTCTTGTCTAAACATACATACACACCATTTCACTTACGATGTGGCTGACAAATAAACGACTGTACAGGAAACCTGTGTGCGTATGTGTGTGTCTGTGTGTGTGCGTCCTCACAAACAGCATCCAGAACGACCGAAGAATGGCCGACGTTGCAGCTTGCAGATCCCTTTGGGGCGAGCTTGGCCTGCGCGCTGTCTTTGGCCCAATCCCTGTCGTCACCTGTTGCATTGGCTGCAAGCCTCTTTCGCCTGGCCCTTCCTTGTCCTCTCCAGCCATGACTGTGCAGCACTAGTGCATCTGAGTCTTCACTCACCGGCTTCATGACCATCTGCCTGTCATGAACTGTGTGTGAATTGCCTCATTTTATCTCCTACACAAAACCTTCCCATGTTGAATCCACGTGAAACACGACACATACACACATACCTCATGGAAGGGCCACCAGGTTGCTCGATCACAGCATCCACGCGATTCAGCCTGCACTCGAGAGTTACAACGTCACATTTGACCCTCGAATATCCGGTTGAATCGTGTGCAACAGCTTCTGTCGCCTATCCACAGTTCCCAACACATGGAAATTGTCCCCTCGCCCCCGCCGGCGAAAATCGATAAAGCTTGTTATGTTTTAGTTTACACAATCACAAGATGAAACGGCTTCCAGTTGGCCGCCCCGATCCCACCGATTGCTGGCGCGAACCTAGCGCTCGACCATGGTAACTTGGGTCCAGGTCGACAAGCAGGACGCACCTCTGAACACGAGGCCCCATTGCCTGGCCATCTGTCAACCAACCGCATCCACTGCACCTCAGATATGCGGAGTGCATGACAGGACAGCATCGAGCTGCTCCACAAAGTCCTTGTTCTGGTTGACACGCGTCATTTCTCCTGAAATTAATTCCAAAGCACCAGTCTCGGAAATGGGCGCAGCAATATTCAGACTTTGGGTCTGCTGGTTCGGATTGCACACTCCCGGCCCCAGTGCTGCAGATCGCATGTGTAGGTTCATTGACCCCGTATACAGAAACGCACGGCATAGATCTGGACATGGTGTCTAGATCTGATGCCAAACTTAACCGTTCTAACAAGTCGCCTCCGACACATGACTGTGGCCAGGGTGATACTTTTGGTACCAAGCTTGGATGTACGCTACCGTCATTGACCACGAATGCTTGTCGACAACCGGACTGGCTTCCGCTAACTGCCCCATGGAACAAGCCAGACGCACCCACCAAATACGACAGATGGCTCGATTGCTGGCTACAGCTACAGCTCCTGCAGCACTCGGCATGGCAAAATTTACAGGGATACGCTTTATTTGCTTGGTATTGTCAAAAAACGGTTGAGAGAGTTCCAGACCATGGTCACGTAGTGGTTGATCCAGAGCCAAGCATGCAAATCATCTTCTGCAGGTTAACAATTAGACCGATCCTGCTACTGCACGACACCACACGCTGATCAACGTGTCTTCTCACGCGGATAACACCTGTACACGCTTTTCCAGGATCAAGTTCCACGTTCAAAGACAATGTCAACGCACATGACGCTCCTCGCCCTGACGATGCTCATCTGTACACGCCGACAAATATGACCGATTACTTTGTTTACGTGTAGACGGCTCTCCCGCTCCATGGATCTCATGGCGTTTGCGCCATCTCACAATCGCCACCCCGATCCGCGGGCCTCCCTTTCCCCCTCCCCCGGCCATTGTTCAGATATCCGGTATCCTTCGGACCTTTCCTAGTCTACACTTTATCTCAACCCTGCTCAGACTTGCTTACATCTGATGCTTGCCCAGTCGGGCTATCAGAAGCCAAGGAGAGTAAAAAATGTCTCACTTTTCTCATTTGTGTATTGCGTCCGCTAGCAACCCCGCCATGATCCTGCTCCACGCGCCCTATTGCAATCTCCGGGGTTTCATTGCACATGCTGCAATTTCGAGATCCCTACTTGGAAAGGTGTATGAACATCATTTCTCACCGATATTTTGATTGCCCTTGTCCACGGAGGTGTGGTGAGGTCACCCTTTCTGATCATGTGTGCCATTCATCCCTTCATCCCCTATTTGGTATCTTCCAAGAGTATATGAGTGCTTCTTTTGCAATTTCCGCGGAGCATTTCCACTACGCAGTTATTCTATTGGAATGTTTTGCTATCGCAGACTGTCTGGTGAGAAAGTGATGCTCTGTGTGATGCACATCATCTCAACATAATTTGGGAAGATGAGCAAACTCACAGTGATGCTTGTGGGAGAGAACAGCGGAAACACCCATTAGTAGTGAATACAATTGTAACTCGTATCTTCTATTTCGACTTCATTCGTGAAGTCTAAACTTGGCTTTGGTGTCCAGAATACCATGTCCCTTACTCTATCTGTACCACATGTTTATGTTCTGCTTTCGAGTATATGTCTTCTTGACATGTGAAAATAAACACTACACGTATTTCATCGTAAAGTCAGAAGTCTTCTGTTTTACCCCGGGTACTGCTCTCTACCTTTTCTTATCCTCCTCCTTCTTTCCTTGTCCATCTCTACTATCATCTTCCTCTCCTTCCTTATCATTCTCTTTTCTCATCCTTTCCTAAAATCTCCCATAAGACTACATTTGAACATCCCCCCCCCCCCCCCCCACATCTTCACATCCAAAGTTGACGAAAAGAGCAAACGCTGACATCACACATATCCGTACTCAATTTCCCTTTTCACACCCCGATCTCTACACACATACTCACTTTATACATCCTCAGCTCTTCTCTACACTATCAACCCCACAAAATGTATCTCAGAAAGTAAATCCACTTTACACTTTCCCATCCTCCCTGCCCCTACCTACTCTATCTGTGATTTTAACTTCGTATCCCACATCACTATACCATGCCCCATCCAGAGCCCTTCTCTTTACCCCCTTACCCCCTTCTAATAATGTCCAACCCTTTCTTAACTTTATACTTGTAAAATAATCAACTCGCACACGCACATATATCACTCCTAACCATATTTTTTTGGGGTCTAGCTCCATCGCATACATCATCAAGTATTCATCTAGAAAATCTCGAAACATAAGTAAGCTATGAAATTGAGAGTGCTGTTGTTGTTGTTTTTTTTTAAAAAAAAAAACCCCCCTCCAGAGAGAGAGAGAGAGAGAGAGTAATTTGTAACACTTGCGCAAATAATACAGTTGAGTACGTTTTTATCGAAATATAAGGGTTTTTTTTCTTTTTTGAAAACGGGAATACATCCGGTATATATAGAGTGAACTTCTTAGGAGGAAAGGAAAAAAAAGGTAGGGACGATAAGGGGGGAATGTAAGAAGACAAAAAAAACCGATATCCTACGGTTTAATCAATCTTCGTAAATGTTGATTGTATATTATCTATCTGCATCTTGTTTTTCATATGGAGAACGTCAGGCGAGTACTTTCAGTCTATATGATGTAACAAAATCGATTTATTTTCCTGGTGTTGGAATCAATTAGGACTCGACTTTGAGTCCTACTGATCCGCGACACTGATTGGTCGACACGAGCACTGGCAAAGGCGTCGTCACCGCCTATTGGCCCGTGCGCGGAGGTACTGTAGATACTCAACACGATAACAGATACAATCAATCAATCCGCTTCCTCACTATAGTATTTGCAGCTGCAAGTTGATTCACCACGTGCACCTTTATCGTGCCAACACCTGGCTAAAGTAACAAAAAAGGGTAAGAAAAGAATGATGAAAAAAAGCTGATCTTCAATTGCAACAAGGTCATGGAGCAGATGAATAAACGAATGGACTGACGATCGAGTTTGACAAGATATACAACATGACAATACAGATCTAGACTTGTGAAAACACTTTATTCAAGATATGAGGGCAATACATAACACACCCAATAGCAGTCAACACGCATCACATATCATAGCAGCACAATGAGGTAGTAAACTAGAATTGTCATAGACATAATGCATTCTATATTGACTATTACCTGATGAAACTTTTCTTTTTTCTGGACGTAAACGCCGGCGCCACAATGCAACGTGACGAAATGACTGCGGACAGCTGCGGCATACATGCAGCTATCATAAACAAGGAAACCTATACCAGTCTAATATGCAGGAGAACTGTTCTGCCAAGCCGACATCACAGCCCTGTCTTTGGGGTATCAGCGTATGACAGAGCCTGAGAACGTGCAGCAGCTTTCAGCCGAACTTGGAAACGGGATGGAAACATGGCAAGTCCGAAATGACGACCTCCAACGCCTAACAAGGATTGAAATCGATGCTCATCGTTCTGATGGCGTGACAAGCAAGCGCCGTCGACAGCATGTTTACCAGCGGCTGTTGCGGACGGGATCACCGTTACCTCCAGTCCAGCCTAATGTACCAGTTAGAGTCTGTTCGTTGTCACAAGGATCAAGAAAACCTACCACCACGACCGCCGCCGCGGCCTCCTCCACGGCCACGGCCACCTCCCCAGCGACCACCACCGCCGCCACCACCGTAGCGGGCCATCTCATGAAGACGGGGGTCAATCTGCTGCTTGGACTCTGTAAGAATTTGAACGAGGTCACGAGCTTGCTTGGAGTCTGAGTCGTTGTTAGCAATTGACTATCAATAATGGACATGAATGTACATACTCTCTGTAGTGAAAAGGGTGATGGCAGTTCCGTTAGCGCCAGCACGACCAGTACGACCAATGCGGTGGACATAGTCCTCCGAGTTGTTCGGGTAGTCATAGTTGAACACGTGAGTAATGTTGCGAACATCTTTGAGAGCAAAGGTTAGTGAATGATAAAAAAACAGAGCGGACGACGATCATGATTGGATCGCGTGAAGCTGCAGTATGTTGCATGCAACCGTCTCTGTGCGCTACAACGAAGATCACGGCATCAAGTCCAGTGGGAAGGCTGTGGATATCTCCTGGTCTAGGAAACCCTTGGAAGAGACTGCGACTTAATCAAGTCAAATATCTCAGGCAGCTTGCTTCAGTAATACGACGGTAGTACCAGAAACAGAAGGTAGCGAAGACTATAAGCCTCACCAGCGTGACCAAGGATCCCTGGGGATCAGATTCGAGAGAGATGCAAGCCCTGGACGATGTCATGGGAGCGAGTGTAACAAGCGCACAAGACGACCTAAGCAGAGCACAATGGCAGTTCACGCATAATAATAGTTGAGGTGGGGTTGGGGAAGAGGGAGTGTTGGAGGTTTGCAATCATACCGATACCACGGGAAGCTACGTCAGTAGCAACCATGATTGGGCTCTTGCCCGTCTTAAACTCGTTAAGGACCCAGTCACGCTCGTTTTGCGCCTTGTCACCATGGATGGCTAGAATCATGTTAGCAGTGTTTACTCGACAAGCAAAAGATTAACTTACAGAGCGCCGGCCAGCCGTCTTGACGAAGGAATCGCGTAATTTCGTCCGCAACACGCTTGGTACCTGTGAAGATGAGGATCTTGTTCTCCTTGTCGCTCATAATAGTCTCGAGATGCTTGGCCATGCGGTCACGCTTCTCGAACTCTGTGCAGACCTCGACGATCTGTTGAATACGGTGGTTAGCAGAGAGGTCCATGGAACCAATGTTGACCTGGATCCAGTCCTTCTGGTAGTCAGCAGCCAGTTGGCGGACTTCCTTGGGCCATGTAGCCGACCACATGCAAGTCTGACGATCAGGACGAATTTGGCCAATGATCTTGCGAATTTGAGGCTCAAAACCCATGTCAAGCATGCGGTCGGCCTCGTCCAGAACGAGGTAAGTGACGCGGCGGAGGTTCGTTTTTCCTGCTTCGAGCATATCAATAAGACGTCCGGGAGTGGCAATGCACACTTCAACACCACGGGCAAGGTCACGGATTTGAGGACCCTTGGGAACACCTCCGTAGACACAGGTGTTTCGAATGCGCGAAGACTTTCCGAACTTGCTGATCTCCTGCTGAATCTGGACAGCGAGTTCACGTGTGGGAGCGAGGATGAGAACGATAGGACCGTCGCCAGGAGCGAGGAGAGGCTGGGCGTTGATGTGGACGATGGCGGGAAGACAGTAGGTGAGGGTCTTTCCGGAACCAGTCTCAGCGACACCGACAACATCGCGACCAGAGAGAGCCATGGGCCAACCCTGCGCCTGAATAGCAGTAGGCTTTGCGAAGCCCTGAGCCTTGACCTCGTTCATAACATAAGATGGGAAACCAGCCTCATCGAAGGTTGTGACTGGCTTGGGAATGTTTGTGCCCTTGACAGTCATCTGGTGCTCCTTGCGGTATTCGGCAACCTCAGCCTCGGAGCGCGCGGTGACTGCGGGATCCTCCTTGTAGAAGGACTTTTCGAACTTGGGAAGAGCGTCGAGATCTGTTCAGACGTTAGCGCTATTTTTTCCGTGAATTGTGTTGCAAATCGACATACCCCATTGCTGCTGCTTCAAGCCTTGGCCGAGCTGCGACATGCGGTCACCTCCATCGCGACCACCATAGCCGCCACCGCCATAGCCACCGCCGCCGTAACCACCACCACCACCGCCACCAGAGTAGCCGTTGGAGCCGCCGCCGTATCCACCACTAAGAAAACTGTTAGCAAATGTCGAAAAGAGGTGGTGTGTGACGAAGGGAGAATTCTACGTTGTCGCAGCAAGTACGTGACCGCGTGCTTGACATATAAAAGCAAGCAAAGCGGCGCGGCCTCCGGACTGTGACTGCGCGTAGAATCCGAAAAAAGAAATGTAGCAGATGGAGGGTGTCCATGCAGCACGACTGTGATGCCTTTCCCGTGTAAAGGGGATGAATCGTCGTACCCGTACGATGCATATTGGCTTGTCGAGTTGCTATAAGACCCATATCCAGCATTGCTGTAGTCGTACCCGTTTGAGTAGCCACGGCCGCCATCGCGACCGCCGCCGCCATATCCACCGCCGTAAGACATGATGTGCGTGTGTGCTGGGTAGAGACTGGCGTCAAAGGAGCGCCGTTCGGTCTAAGAGAGCGTGTTTCGAGATCTGAGACCGCGAGGGTATATTAAGATGTAGTAAAGCGACGGAAAGAGTGTCGCGGGTTGTGCGATAAAAGAAGCACTGATAGAAGAGGGCGAAGGTGTATGAGAGAAGAAGTGAAAGGGCAGAACGCGCCAGGAAAAGTTGCCTTGCCTCTGTTGCGCTTGCACATTTTTTGAGACGCTAGCGGCGCTAGGGCGAAGGGTCTGGCCATTTCCGGTTAGCGCAGAACTTGCCGTTATCAGGCCGGGGAAGTCACCAAGAATTCCATTTCGCCACCCTTGGGCCGAACTGCAGACACACTACCATTCCACCGAGAGGCTGCAAAATTTGACATGCGCCTCCATATTACTGTTGGTGGGGCTGCTGCTCTGATGCGAATGACGCCCGACACGTAGCGAACGAAGAAGACCAACAACAACACCACCAGCAACAAGCAATGCATTCACCGCTTCAGATAGAGGCTGCCCCACGGGCCTTCCGTCGTCGATGCATTGACTTTTGTAAAAGGCTAGAGTCTCCGTTGCAGCAAACATGTTGAAATGGTAGCATGGCCTATGGCCAGTAATAGGGTGACATGGTATGCATCCGCAACCCATCTATTCAACTCAATTCAAACCTTTTTGCCAGCCCGCAATCCCATGTCCCAGAAACCTCTTTCCATCTGCTCTCCGTTAGCGCACTCATCAACCACCCACTTTTTCATCAGTACTTACTTTAGTCGCATGGACAAACACTTTAGCTAGTTCCTCCACTCTGCTTGGACTTAGGCCTGCTGCATGTTTCTCCACAAGCTCGCTTCCCCTCATCATCGCACCCCTGTACTCATCCGCTACATACTGCTCGATCCACTTCCAGTATCTACTGCCAGTCCTGACCGTGTTTGGGTCCTCATATAGTCGCTTAGCAATGATGCCGTAGCCTATCAGGCAAGGGAGAAGGGCTATCTGTAAGGCAAGGAAGTCTTGCGACATGCCAATGTCAAGAACGTAGCGCGTGTATGCTGTGGTAGCTTGGTCCTCTTCCTCGCTGATAATATCGGCTTCGGAGAGTCCATATTCTTTGCAGAAATCAATGTGAAGCTGTATCTCCTCTTGGAGAGTGACAACCTGTTGGACGGACTGACCAATATCTTTGAGGTTGCTTGACTTGTATGCTGCGAGAGCGGTAGCTCTTGCAAATTGAACCTATAACATCGTCAGCTGTTTCTGTGGTAGAAAGCTACCTAACATGAATGGACTAGAGGACTTACAAGGAACTGGTAATCTTGCACAAGATAGTACATAAACTTTTCGAGTGGTAGTGTTCCATCTCCCATCCTCTGAACAAACTCATGCTCTGTATACTCTTTCCATGGTATTTGTACTTCATCTCGATCAAGTAGGTAGGAGATAAAGTTACCGGGAGTGAAAGGGAGAGTGTATATTGAATGGAAATGATTGATCGGCCCACTCCCCCGCCCGATATCCATCGCTGTTTTGATTCCGGCTTCAATGTATCGATTGGCTTCCTTGACAGCCTTGATCATAGGCATACCGAGAGCAAGGTTGCACGAGATTGCTGAAGCAAGTGAACACCCTGTGCCATGGGTGTTCTTCGATTGCAAATAATCACTCTCTATCAAGGTGACTCCACTGTCTCCAACTAGCACATTTAGTACTACTTCCCGGTCCGCCTCCTCTTTACTGACAAAATGACTGCGTGTTAATGGTAGGTGGCCTCCCTTAAGTAACACCCACTTGGGTCCTCTCTCGTGGATATGACGTGCCATTGCGATAATGTCATCAATATTCTGCGGGTCCGGCAATTCAACGCCTGCAGCTTTCAAAAGAAGTTTTGCCTCTGGGAGATTTGGTGTTAGAAGCGTTGTATGAGGGAGAAGATGTTCGATCAGTGTTGTAACCGCCGCTTCAGGAAGAAGTTGTGAACCCGATGTCGAGACCGTTACCTAGAATTTGATTCAGACCGTGTCTAATCATCCAGATCGAATGGGTAACCAGAACGTACAGGGTCAACAACACTCGTGCTAATGTTGTGTCTCTTCAACGCGTCGGCGACAATCTTGATCGTCTCTGCCGACGCAAGCATGCCTGTAAGACGTGAGATTCCTCGTCTTGAAATCGACGCATTTTTCTATCATCTGTTTGTAGACCTACCAGTCTTGACAACATCGGCTCCGATATCATCACAAACAGCATCAATCTGCTTCTTCACAAAGTCCGGGGGTGTATGATGTATGTCCTGCACACCTAGCGTATTCTGTGCTGTCAACGCGGTAGTAGCAGTCATAGCATAGCAGCCATGTGCTGCAATAACCTTCTGATCAGCCTCTAGTCCGCTGTTGGTAGGGGTGGATAGTTAGTGTAACTGGCTGATTGAAGGAGGGGCGGATGCATGTATGCGTACGTACGCCCCACCCGAACTATCTGAGCCAGCAATTACCAGGATACGCTTCGGCGGCATTGGGAACAACTGGAAGTTGACTGTAGCGAGATTTTGCTTCGTTCCAAGACTGCGGGCTTGGAATGGTGAGAGTCTGCCGTTTTCTCTTTGAGCCCCACCATCCGCCGGTAAGTAGGTACGCGAGACCCACGTCATTCCGTCATATCATGTTGCTGGCACACATGGACATTGCAAGAACAGTATAGCCGCAAATGATAAATACTCGGCTCTTGATATAAACTGGCAATCCTCTAGTAATTTTGATGACATCGTAGCCATCTTCTAATGACAAAATAGAAAAGAGTTGCCGGAGACTCATGTATTACTTTACACACGTATATTATTGTACCAGTATGTCGTTTTATCTAAAAATGTGCAGAATAATATCCAAACGCAGTCCAGCTATGTAGTGTCTGCTGGAACTTTCGAGTTATCTTCTCTACACTTTGCAATGCTTCCACTCATGCCACTCAGTTACCATAATCCCTTAACCTGTGATACACGCTGTGTGGGCTCGAATACTTCATTGTTTTCAGACGTATTTGCCCTCGAAGTACTACCGCTATCTGTAAAGGTTGGGAAAGCTGATGCATCGTGGGTGGCACTGGCATCCCAGCCGAGAGTCTCTTCTTTCTCATAATCCATAGGCGCCCATGCCGCATCCTCATCTTCAGGTACGAAAAGACTTTCGGGATCGCGATGCGGCGACTGCGCCTGAACTGAGGTCTGGCGAGATCCTAGGCGGCTTGAACCCTCGCGCCGAGATGCCGGCTGCACTGGTGGAGGCATATCAGACTGAAAGCTGCGACTACCTTCACGCTCCATCGTCGTTGTTGATGGTGTACGAGGTGTATTCCTGTTGTGTGTTGTCTGAGGCGCGGGGGCAGGTATGGGTGCGGATGGAGCAGCGGTGTAATTGCCCGAAGTCATCAATGTGAATTCACAAAACAGACCATCGCATCCATAGCTGAATTGTAACGGCCGGGTTGGCTGAGAATAGAAGGCTCTCAGGTTTGTCTTTAGAGTGTCTGCGTGCATGACAATGGCTTTGAAATCTTTGACGTTGATGATGATATGTATGCCAGATTGCACGACGAACTCTTCGAAATCCGATGTGTTGACGGCCACGGCTGTGACAAGTGGGTGCTTCAAGATCTCCTTTCCGTTGGAGATCTTTTCGGTATAACTCTTGAATACGCAGCGACCGTCGTCTCCTGCAAATATGTCGAGCATTTCGGTTTTGGTACCAAAATACTCGATGTACTCTCTCACAGCACCAGCGTGCATGGTCCACCGATTCTTTGCTACCGACCGATCAAATAGTGCATGCATCACCTCCACAGCTTCGTAGGTGAGCTTGTATGTTTTGATAACACCCTGGTTGCAAACCATCTTGACAATAAACCGACATTGTGTCTCGTTCTCTCGCTCTTGCACGCTCACCTCACAGCGGTCTATCGCACCATCCCGCCCTACTGGATCGTACAGGCGCCCTTTGAACACTGACAAGAGGGCCTTGGTGTACATGCTGCACGTGAAGCGACCCTCAGGTCCGCCATGGCTTGGGACACACTCGTAGCTGGCGAAGAATTGTCTACCATCTAAAGTAACGGCGGCATATGCGGATTTAGAAGAGTTGAGTGCAGTGAATGTGAACTGAGACGAAACATATGAGCCGACGGGCTGACTTTGAAGAAGAACGGCAAACCCACCTTTTCTCGACGCGCTTCGATGGCTACGGTGTCGCTGAATTTGCCTAGACAGACAAGAAGATCATGGACTTTGGAAGCCGCCTCGGGGGTGAGGGTAAAGTTGAGAACGACCATGTCGTATGACTATTCGCATAGTGGCGAGGGCAGTGCATGTCATACAGCAGCGCTTGTGAGGTGGCCGAAAGCGGAAAGACCGCGTTTTTGACGCGCTAGCGTATTGACATCATCGCGCCTGCTACTCGGAGTATGGTAAACAACATAACTTCATGAATAGCCCATCCAAGACGTCATGGCTCAAGCGGTGCTCCCAGACGATATCTTACATCTCTTATGCGAGGAACTCGCCAGCCAGGAGCAATTTGATACCCTCTTCAACTGCGCTTGTGCGAGCCGCGCCCTTGCCGTCCCTGCGTTAACTCAACTGTACAAGTACTTGACACCAGTCCGGCTCAGTTGATTATCATCTTTGCTGATACGAACAAAAGATCTCACCATCTTGCACCGGTTCGGGGTGGCGGGGAAGATCTCTACGGTTTACCGGCCGCCACTAACCTACTTACTATCCAGAAATGGTCCATCTTATGGCGGTCCATTGTTGCCTCGAGCCTTGGCGCCACTCTTTTCCCATATTGTCGTTATATCAGATCGCTTGACTTCCGCGATCTCGGTTACCTTCTCGAAGATGACCAATTCCGAGCCAAGATCTCAAAGTCAGTCCAGTCTCATGCGGGCCATCCTTCTGAGTTAGACACTGACACCCATAGACAATTCTTCGCTGGCCCACTGAAGCAGTTTGAGAAGACAGAGACCCTGACGAACATCAAAGGCAGGAAGTTTACGCGAATCAAGACAGCGGACGTCATCGATGCCATTGGTGAAGGTGTGCTTGTGATCTAAATCTCATACTGTGTTCGAGATTCTGACACTCTGCAGTGGTGACACAACACACGCCCACTCTCGAGGTGATTAGTGGAGAACGTATGTACAAGCTCGCTCAAGTGAATTGAAGAAACAACTAACACCGTGGAGTTCAACCTGGTGCTCTTGTACGATGGACACCGCGTCTCCCACGGCTACAAAGCCTCGAACTATGGGATGGCAAGCCACTGGAAGACGAGCTAGTCCACGCATCCATCTACGAGCATTGCCCGCACTTCAATTCTCTGATGATCTACACATGGCGCTCTACTAACAATGACCAAAAGTTTGCCAAGTTCCTTTCCTCTATGCGACCTAATACGCTGCAAACGCTACAAACCATTAGCGATGTTGAAGCAGGCGCCGAGACGTTCCTCGCACTGAGTAATCATGGAAAATCGCTCGAAGATCTTCGCCTATGTGTGACCAAAGACTCAATACCGCACCTGGCTCTCCTAAAAGGATGTACGGCTTTGAAGACATTGCGAATCGAAGATATGCATGGCACCGTTGACCTCGAGGCAACCGAAAACGACGTCTTCCTTGAAACCATATCATGGCTGCAAAAGTGTTCAAACCTCCAGCGTCTCAGCTTCTCTAAACTACAGTCCGGAGCCGCCATTATTACCCCTGTGCTATTGGAGGAAAAGATTCAACTCAGCAGTTTAGAGATAGACTCCTACACGCTCAAAGACCACAAGTCGTTCCATCAGGCTCTTGTGCATCAACAGTCTTCCCTACGAGTATTGTTCCTGAGTGGCGACACAGAAGGCATGTTTCGCGACGATCTTGATATTCTTGTTGAATCTTTGAGGCAGCTCCGCCAATTGCGCGATTTGCACCTGATCCTTCCGGAGGTATTGCGCGACGATCATCTCAAAACCATTGTCGCCGATCTCGTCCTGCTCGAAGACTTGTACGTCAGCGGGTTAGAGCTCAACGACGACGTACTTCCACATCTAGCCAGCCTGCCCAATCTCCGCACCGTCACAATCTCCGGTATCTCAAAGTTCACCATGGATGGCTTGTTGGATTTCATAGACAGGTTGGGCCCGGGGAACCAAGGTATTCGTCTGTCTGTCGACATGGCAGATACGGATACCCTGCTTCCAGACGAGCAATTAGCTCTAGTAAAAGATAACTTGATGGAGAAAGCCAGTGGCACCTTTGAGTACATGGCACTAAGAGGTATGTGGTGGGCACTGTAAACTGAGTAACCTATAAACGATCCCTGACTAACAGTGTGTTTCCGCCAGACCCAAATGTACCTGAATTCGAGAGTGATTCCGACTAAGCTGCCGCGAGTGTTACATGGTAGTTTCAAGCTCTTGTGAAATGCTATGGAACATGTATTTGGATAGATTCATGATTCAGACTATGTCTTTTCTGGTTCGAGTTGGTTTTTGTCACAGGATACAGAACCAAATCTTGAATAGTAACGTGGATGCTATGGATGTACAAAGCCGTCACGCCTTTCTTACGCCATTGTCTACGCGTTGATAATGATCCCTTCACAAAAGAGCTGCTCAATCAATCTCCATATCTTCCCCGCCTTCCACTTCTTCCTCCTCTTCCTCCTCCCTATCCAACCGCTCATTCAACGCCTCCAACCGCTTCTCACACACATCCCTCTCCAACTCAGGCAACCCCTCCAACCTCTCCACAAACCACTCCCCCAGCTCCCTCACATACCCCCACCAATCCTCCGCAATAAACCTAGCCAAATACTCCTTGAGCCGATAATGCCCCGGCAAATCCCCACCCCCTTTCTTCCCAAAAATCCGACACGCAAACACCATCATCTCATCCCTACCCGGCGTGATACCCTCCAGCTTATCCACCACATGCTCCATAAGATCATGCATATCAAGGCGATCCGCAACACTCCACGCCGCATAGCCCTGCTGCTCCACTATGCTGTAATTATCACTGCTACTACTACTACTACTACTACTACTACTACTACTACTACTACTACTACTACTACTACTACTACTACGCGGATCGAGCGGTAATCGGATCCCAAAGTCGTCGCTTTCGAGGTACTCGGCTGCAAAGTCGAAGTCGGCGGGGTTGATGTGACGCAGGGCTGGATGGCGCAGGATCCATGTGTTGTCGATGTAGTCGAAGTGGTTGAGGCCGCGGCGCGGGTCGCGGAAGTAGGGTCTGTTCCAGAGGGATTGCTGGGGGAGGACGCGGAGTTGGGATTTGGGGCCCACGGGGACGTGGATGAAGTGTTTGCTTTGGGTACTGGAAGAGGTGCTGTTAGCTTTGGGGAAGGGGAGGGGAGGAGGGAGTGGGACATACAGTTCGCCATCTATGGTGTCGCTGGTTGGTTTGTTGAAGATGCTGGAGAGGTTGGTGGTGTCTAGGATGCAGGTCTGTTGGGATAACGGTTTTGTGGCTGGCTCTGTTCGTTTTGGGGTCTCGTCTGTAGGGACTTCCTCGTCTGTTAGGTCTATAGTGTTGTTGGGCAGAGGGACTCCAAAAAATCTTGTAGAGTTCTGGGTTGCGGCAGTACGACTAACTTGTGGACTTGGCAATACGATTGGGGGCGATTGAGAGGGCGTCAGCAAGCTTCTACTTGCAGGATTCTTGCGCAAGTAGTCGTCTCGGCTTGCGCGTAAGGCTTGCTGAAATTCAGTGTCCATGGAGTCTTCAGAGTCTAATTCGAGATCAGAATCAATGGTTATAGTACCTCCCACTCTCTCACGCCAATACTCCAAGTCCAGGGAAGAGTCGAGATGGTTGTTGGCCATTCCATATGCATCTCCTAGGCCCGGCACTCTTGCTACCATTTGTCCCTGTAGAATTGGCATGAACGGATCGTATTCGCTCAAATCTTTTGGGGTTGCCCAGCGACTGTCTAAATTAGCATGTTTGCGGGTTTATCGGAAGACACTCACAATGTTAGGCTACCTAAGATCAATATGAGAATTGTAGAAACACCGCGCGGGCGACTTCGCAGTAAATCCTTAGGTGCCATGTCGTCTGTACAGACTACTGCTGGCCATGAGGGTGGAGGAGACAGTGAGCCCTGATACTGGATCAGACTGCCCGGTTCCAGCTGCTCCATGGTGTTCCGGACGTATGTTCTGGTTGTAACTCAACCGATCGGGTCTGTACGGGGGTTATTAGCAAAGAAAGCTTGATGTGAGATACGCTTATATAGGTGAAGGAATGTTGACTAACCTTGCTGTCTATTACCTGCATCGGCTGCTCCTTGAAGCTCTAGTACCTTTACCAGATCCGGGCTTTGCAGTGTTCACTTCAGTACACTTCTTGAACTGCCGGCTGAACACGGCTGTTAGGCATTTACATGCTTATCGGATTCGTTCAGTTACGACGATAACTATTATCGCACAGTACACTGCCAGAGTGAGAGGTTTCTTCGAATCTATGCTACAGTAGTCGCTGTATGATGCATATCTTCCTCGATCTTCCCTGACACTGCCTCGCTCATCGAATCCCCAGAATCTCGAAGCAATATTTCATTCAACATTCTTCGACTAGTATAAGGACCGGATACTTAGTTGGCGTATTTTCGGTACTAGTAAGTTTAAGCGTTAGTTTCCTCGACTACAAGGGTGCCATGTGCAAGGAAATGTACAAGCAGCGGACTGTAGAGCTTGTTGCAACGACGTGTTCTGAATCAGACCTCTGTTCACTCTTTCACCAAAAAACATCTCTATAAGTATTCATCTCACCAAATATGCACAATTCTTCTCGCTAACCACTATGTACCCTTCCGACCTTCCTGTATACAATGTACACCAATTGTCTTGGCAGCGGGCACCTTGTATAAGCGCGCCTGCGGAGTTTGTCGCTCCACAGCTCGGGAGTTGACTAAGCTTGCCCGCAACAACCAATCCAAGGACATCTGGCATTTACCCTTTCCGCGACCATCGACCTCCAACGAAACGACGCGCCAGATTCTCCGCTGCGCTCGTTTCCGCTTTCAAAAGCCCACTTGTCCAACCAACCCATACGGGGACACAGAAAGAAAAAAAAGGACACATCAATCCCTCACAACAGGGAATTCCACAAACGGGACAACCCAACCTCGACGCATCCACCACGAATCCTACAAACTCCCACCCTACACACGCACGCCCCAAAAAACCGACCAATAACCATGTTCGGCGTCGCAGGCATGCAACCACGGCAACTCGCCGCCCAAGTCCTCAACTTCGCACTCGTCCTCTCGACCGCATTCATGATGTGGAAGGGCCTCTCGGTCGTCGCCGACTCGCCCTCACCCATCGTCGTTGTCCTCTCTGGATCCATGGAACCCGCTTTCCAGCGCGGCGACCTACTGTTCCTGTGGAATAGAGGCTTGGATACGCAGATTGGCGAGATTGTCGTGTATAATGTCAAGGGCAAGGATATTCCGATTGTGCATCGGGTGGTTAGGAGATATGGTGGAGGGTGAGTTTGATACTTGTTTAATGTTCTGGTTTTGTAGCATTGGCTAGGGAACATAATGTGGCATTTTTTGAGGGAGATACATGTTGCGTGGAAGGGGATTTGTGCTGACAATTGTGCCTTTTTTTTTAGTAAAACTCCGCTCCGTCTCCTTACCAAAGGTGACAATAACCTTGCAGACGATACGGAACTTTATGCTCGCGGACAGTCCTTCCTTAACCGTAAGGAGGATGTGATTGGAAGTGTCGTTGGCTTCATACCGTTTGTGGGATACGTTACCATTCTACTGAGCGAGCACCCATGGTTGAAGCAAGTCATGCTAGGAATCATGGGTGTTATGGTGGTGTTGCAGAGGGAGTAGCGTGTGTATGATTGGGAATGACAAATAGTGTGTATCGAGGTGCATTATAGAATTTGGGTTATCATCATGTTCGTGTTTATCGTATCCAGTGGTCAAGATGTTTGCCATGGCTTGAACTTTTGCTGTGCATCTTTGTAGTAACTATGCTTTGAAGTGAATAATCCAAATATCCACATCCTGTCCCGAAACCGTGTAGTTGAATCTAAAACAAAACACTTGCCACTATGGTAATCATAAACTTGCGGCATTTATTTGACAAGTTAAAGTAAAAAAAAAGCGATACTAAGTCCCTGTACATCTCACCCAAATCCCACATCCACCCTACCGTCTCCTCCATTCCCTCACCTTCACCCCCTTCCAAACCAAACCAACCCCAAAAAAACCCCGCAAAAAAGAAGCAATCATGCGCCGTACGGGGTTCGACTGTACCATCTGTCAGTCCACCAATTCGAACTCTAGTCATTCAAGACACTTACACCCGTGATCCCCGCCTTTTATAACATTTCCCACATGCAAATGGAGCTGCTTTGGGAAGGCGATAGCATAGCCACTAGCCCAACGACGCTTCGTAGACTTGTTTTTTGATCTTGAATTCGATGGGGTGAGGATGGAATAGGAAGGAATATATGCCTGTGTGTATGTGTGGTTTAAAGGGTTTTGGTTAGGGAAGATGGTTTGGGTGGTTGGTTGGGAAAGGGAGGGGAAGGGGGAACAAAGAGTGGGAATGGGAGGACCCTGGTTTGCGGGGTTATTGTGTGGTAAAGGTACACGTATAGTTTACTGTGAGTGGTTTTTGTTTATGAGAAAGGAGGGTTATGTTGAATTTTGATCTGGGAGACCCGGGTATTGTTCAACTGCGGATTATATACATCACCAAGAATCACGTGGGACGGGCAGAAAAACAAGAAGTATAGAAGCAGCAAGCAAAATAAATCTCCATACTGCAAAGTTTAGACTAGTGTACACATAGACTTGGTCATGAGCTTCGTGATGTTTTTTGCCCCCTTTTCTTCCCCTTTCACAAGGTCGAAGAAAAAAAAAGAGGGGTGAAGATGGGGAGGAAGAGACGCCCCCAAACATCATGACCGAACAAGTCACAAGCGCTGGAAATGAGACTGAACTGTGACTGTTCCCTTTATCGCAAAAGGAACCACCACACAGATTTGGCTAGCCGAAGACACTGAGATACACACGTACACACCCATGTTCGAGACAGAACTCACGAACCCATTAAAGCCTAGGAAGGATCACATAAAGGAAACTGAAGAGAGAGGAGGCGGACTGCAAAGCCCGAGCCCAGGAACCTCCGATGACAAGCTTTACTCGGACTCTTCCTCTTCCTCATCGGCAGCCTAGGTTTGTTAGCACGTGATTTTGGGACACAGGGGATGGGGAAAACATACGGTGTAAGCAGCCTTCTCCTGCTCGTAGCGCTTCTTGTCTAGAGCAGCCTTGGCCTCGTAGGGTTGGCGCTGCTTGTCGTTGAGTGCCTTCCACTTCTCACCGAGAAGCTTGCCGACCTCGCCTGGGCAAAAAGGTTAGAAACAGAGTAGACGAGGGGGTAAAAAGCATCAACTTACCGAACTTGATGCCTGGGTTGTCCTCGCGGACCTTCTCACGCTGCTCGTTGGCGAAGAACATGTAGGCAGAGAGACCACGCTTGGGCGCGTTGGGGTCTGGAGCTGGTTAGCAGGGGAGTGGGAACACGTGAGCAAAAACTTACCCTTCTTCTTCTTCTCGGCCTTGGTCTTAGGCGCAGCCTTGCGGGTAGTCTTTTCCTTGGGCATGGTGTTGGTTGATGTGCTATTGCTGGGGGTTAGCTGGGTGGTGGTTGAGAGGTAAGAGAGGGATTTTGGACAGAAAGCAAAACGAGGGAGACGAGGAGAGCAATGCAGCGGCCGATGCCACGGGTGAAGGTGGAAAGTAGCGGTGTCGGCTGGCAAAAGCGGAAGATGGTGGGAAAGGCGTAGGCAATGGCAATGGCGGTTGCAGGGCTGGCTGGTATGCATGCGCGTGGAGTGACGCGGTCGCAAAACACCACAACACGACGCGAAGATGCGCGATTTTACGATGATAGAAGGAGCGAGTACTCACCAAAGTAGCTGGATTCAGCAAAATCGAAGGGGTTGATAAAGGTCTGTTTTGCGGTCAGTATGGGATGGGCGTGGATGGATGGCGCAGTGATGGCGACGACGAAAGAAAGGGAAAGAGAAGGTGTCGCCAGAAATGCAGAAAGAGGGCTGGGAGAGGAGTACAAGGGCGAAAAGAGGCGGGAAAACGCGTGCAAAAAGGGTGTTGTTGCGAAAAGGGGTGCTGGTGATGAAGCGACTTTGGCATTTGCAGGCGGGGACGACTCACCAAAGGTTTTGCAGGCCAGAGTTGTATGGGCGGTCTACACTGCGAGGTTTTGGTGAGCACGCAGCGAAAACAGCGAGGGCCGCAAAGGACCCTCACAGCGCGGCCTGGCAGGGCGAGGGCATTAGGTAAGCACGCTTGTTTTGCAGCCATGGCATAGCAGCGCACCCGGACCACCACCCCTCCTTTGTCTACCGGGAGCTGCGCTGCCTCACCGCACCAACTCTCGCCCGCACGGCACACGCTGCACTGTCGTTTTTTTTTTCTTTCGCCAAAGGGGGGGTGTGCGAGAGAGACTGCAGCAAGTATGAAAGCAGAGGCGAGGATGATTGCAATGGCGACAGCGAGGGCGACAGGCGCAATGCCTTGAGGAATCCATCCTCCCAAGTGTGCCAGGCCCGCACCCGCGCCCTCGCCCAAAACACGCCTGCACCCACCCTCGCAGCGCGCGCGGCCAACACGGACGCGCATCATGCTTGGGCGCCCCCTTCGTCTGCTCTCTCCTGGCGAGTTTCAAGTTTGGTTAGATTGCACGCAGAAGAGCATGGTCTACCATTCGTTGGGCGCATGCGAGGCGGCCCTGGTTGACGTTATCTTCGAATAGCGCGGCGGCCTGCTCTCCTTCCCCGACCACCAGAGGCCACCCAGGCCGGCTCCATGGCCTCGTCACCAAACCCTCGCTATTACACGAGCTCGACGAACCATCCGAGCTGACTGGCCAGTCTGCCTCATGTGCCCGACCCCGCAGCTTGTCGTGCCCACGGCCTTGGTGACGGCTATGTACCCAGCCCAGCCCAGCCCAGCCTACTATCTGACCTGCCTGACTGACTATACCTATCTACTACTATTTGCTTGCTTACCTGCCTTGTAATATGTCCTGTCCTGTCCTCCGTCCCTACCGACGTACTATCTACCGCCCAGTGTATGCGCCCACTTTTGGCCACCACACGGCTCTGCCTCTTCCTTTCCTGCCCCGTCAACATGTCCACATTCACACACATTACACTGCTCCGCGCCTCCTGTGCCAAGTGTCCTCCCTCCCTCGCCCCTTTGCCTCTGCTCCCCCAAGCACAAAGCGCCGCCTCTTGTTGCCCAGGCGGCCCTGTGAGCCACTCCCCACTCCCCGCCAGAGAAGCTCGTGGGTGGGCAGGCAGGCATGCAAAGTATGCATGCATGCAGGCACGCCAACGCCTAGACCGGCCCGTCAGAGGTTCGGCACCGCGCCCCCGTCGCTTCCCCGACCGTAGTCACCGTAGTCGGCCAGAGGTTGGAGCGAGCCCGCGACTGCTCCATTCCGTCGCTGCCCCATTGCTCCAGCAACCGCCATGACGTCCTCGGTCAACAAACACCACCCAGCGCACACACACACACACCTCTTGACAAGAAGAAGACTGCAAACGTTGGCTACACGCATCCGCTGACCCAGCCCAGCTTCATCTCAACACAACAACCACACTTCAGCCTGCCCTTGACCCCCGCGCCTGCACCATGCATCCTCCATCTATCCTGCCCTATCACCACAAGCTCACCCATCCTCCTCGTCATCCATCACCAGCTCCGTCAAGCCCTCGTCTGCAGCCCAGTTGATCCCACTGCCCACAATCATGCCTGATAGTACCCCCTTGAGCGTCTTCACTCTTCGTCTCGACTCTACAAGCTGCTTCTCGACAGCATCCACCTGGCTGCGCAACTGCGCGTCTTCGATATCCTGCACTGATTGCGCCTTCATTTCTTCGGCCAAAGCAAGCATCGTCTGTGCCAGCTCCCGGTTCTTCTGGTTCGCAACCATGTTTCCTTGTTCTGCTGCACTCAGAGCACGTGTAGTAGAAGCAAGTTTGGCGGTTTGAGCACCATGGGTCATGGCCATTGTGTCGTTCTCGGTCACGAGTGGGAGCAGGCGCCTGTAGGCCATTAGACAACCACACACTATGCCAGCCAACGTGAGACCAACTTTTCAGCAAATCGCGTCCGCTCGCCCCCATGAACAGCTTTGAGCACCGGATCCATGACCAGTACGTTGTGCGTGATTCTGTTCCTGATCTCGTACTCTGCCTTCGCTTCCATAGCCTCGCGCTGCGCTATGGTCAGCCGCTCCTCCACCAAGTCATCTGGGAGCGCCGACAAGTCATGCGCTTGTGCTACACTTTGCATTAATCCCCGCCCTGCTTAACCCAATCTGACATGTTCAACGTGCCTGCTTGTTGCGCTTGTACGAGGCTCTGCTGCAGCTCCAGTTCCTTGAGCTGGTCGTAGAGCTGCAGGGCTAACAACTCAGTATCGGACAACGCGAACGCGTCGCTGTGCGCTGTCTGTAGCAAATCCGCGTCGTCGTGCGCATCCTGTGTTTTCGCACCCACGTCGACCATGTCGACATCGCCCCGTGTTGCCATGCTGTCCGATATTGTTTCCGTGTGTTTCCAAGATTGCAGTCGAGGCCTGGTTCATCTGACCGAGCCTGACCTTCACCATGATGCAGTGTCGCGGGGCCCATGCGCAGATCCCTGCGTGAACCATGCTTGGCGGTATTTGGTCCCATGTGCTCACGCTTCAACACTCTACTCTCCATCTCGCCCCTGCTGCTGCCCTGACAAGACTCCAACACGCAAAAAGGGCAGAGCTGCATGTCGCTACAAATTGCTGTAGCTCATACGGGCCAGCGTCTTGACGCTGATCCGGTTGCCTTTACTTCGGTCGATGCGCTCAAGTATTGGATCTCAAGGACTACAGAGATTCCGCCCGAGCAGCAGGTCTTGCTCACAACCCAAGGCAAGCATGTCAAGTTACAAGCGCTATTGACAGAGGCAAGTCATCCTTTTTGCACACAACATCCCACCCACTGCATGCTAACACAACTGTTTGTAGAAGGAGATATTTGTATTTAGTCGCGAAATCTCCAACAACCCGCAGGCTGCCATATCCTCAACGCCTCTACCCGATCCCTTCACTCCCGACGATGCGCCGAATCATCTCGCCAGCAATACGGACCTTGGAGCATGGCAAGCACTCTTCCAAGCTCGCCGCAACTGGGCGTTTGCGCTTCTCGAGAAGTCACATTCCATGTCACGCATAGCCTCCAAGCACTTTGCCGAGCAAGCGACCATCGAAAGGGCTACACAAGTCGCAGTTGGAAACCATGATGCGCATATCAAGGGGTTGGAGCAAAAGTATAAAGCAGCAAAGGAGTGGTATGACGGGGTAGAGAAGGAAGCGGGAGACAACGTCCGGAGGCTGGACAGGGATTTTACACAGCTAGGAACAGTTTCCGCTATCCTCAACTTCAAGCGATTTTTGGCCAAGGAGATGCGATCTGCAAAGAATGTACCCAGCAATGTGATTGTTCGTGAGACGCTCCAGGACTTCCTCGATGTCGAGGCGGTCAAGATGGCCACGGCGACTAGCCAGCGCGTACGCGAGGCCTTTGGGAAGCGCATGGACAAGATGAACATGCAACTAGAGAGGATTGCAGCAGACTACAACGATTTGTTGAAAGCGGTTGGTCAGAGCCAGAGCCGATCCGTGGTCGACGATACCGAAGAGCCCGTCCGCCTGTACAACGAAATCGATGCAGTAGCAAAAAAGGTCGAATCAGACCTTGAGCATGTAATGGGGCTCGAGGCAAGCTCTAAATCAGTTGCGCAAGTCTCCAAGATGGCTTTGTTGCATACCCGAAACTTCCTACCAGCCATACAGGAATACAGTGTAGAAATGAGCGATCTCGTGCGACG